AGTTCTATCTGGCAGAGTTGGAGTTTTTCTCTACCTCAAGTTAAGTAACACCTACAGGCTTCCTCCTCTCACACATCATGTGACTGGGCAGTGAAAAGAGAAGCAGCAGACCGAGGAGGTTATCCCCTGTTACTATGCACTCTTCCCCTGTCAGCATGCTCCTTGGCAATGCTGCACCACTAATTGGCACCTTGTGCAGCTTCTCCCTTTGCTCGCCTCATTTAAGCTGTACAGGCAATTGCAAAAGGCTGATACCAAGCCGTATTCATGTACTTACACTTGTATTTAATAGAACACATTTCAAGATGCATTAATCAATTCAGTGCTGCACTAATTTGTGTTTTCAGATCTACCTGGAGATCAGCACTTACTCATTGATTCTAATAATTTTTATTTCTGGTGTTTCATGCATTTTTGTTCCTGAATTGGTAGGCAGCAATGTGTAATCTTGAAATCAATATTAAAATCAATCAAAGTTAATGTGTTAGTATTGATCTTACGTTGCATGTGTACGCTAACATAGCTTGTCAGGTCTGATGTCAAATAGCATGTCCCCCTGTGGCCCCTGTGGTTTCCCCTGCTGACATGTACTGCAGTACATATAAGGAGTCTGAATGGCAGTACAACTGCTACTGTACTGTATTGGAAAGACTTCACAGAAAAGTGGAGGCTGTTAGAGCCACAAAAGGAGGGTCGGGGATCCATATTAATGGTATGGCCCATGCTTGAAGAATGGGATGTTCAACAGACTCATAAAGGAATAATAGTCAGGTGTTCATACATATTTGCCCATATAGTGTGTATTTAACTCAACAGCTAAAATTATTTTAACACATGGAATTTCATAAGTGGTTTCAGTAAATTCTTTCTATATATTCCTAAAACTGCAGCTTTCATTAAATTAATACCTGGTGATCCTTCCATGAAGGTCCTTCCTGTAATAGGTTTTCAACATTTTGTCCCTGTTTCCCAATTTCCCTGCGTTGTCACCCTGTCACATGAGCTTCCAATGGAGACTACAAATGGATGTTTTTGTACACAGCAATAGTCCACTATTGTCACCATCAGGAAACCTGCTTTGAAAAATGCAGCCATTGCAGGAGTGCATGTTAATAGGTAGGGGGTGGCTACACAAAGAAAGTACAACAAAGGATGGGGAAAAAAATAAAACAAATATTTTATTTTTAAAAATGACAACAGTTTATGATATACAGTGCTTCAACAAACTAAGGCCCCTTTCACATGGGTGGTCTGTTCATATCCACCTGTTTTTCAGGTGGATCTGATCGGAAGCTCAATGCTACTCTGTGGACAGCTGGATGTAAATTGTCATGCGTAAATTTGATTACCCTGGCCAGGTCCGGGAAAAAAAGGAACAAAGTTCCATTTTGGCAAACCTGGTCATGACGGATTAGAGTTAATCAGATGTAAACAGACTGCTTACTTCCAACTCCTCGTAGACCTAACATGGAGAAAAAAACTGAACGAGCATGGATATCAGAAAAGTTTCATCCATTCCATACTGCTCCGATCAGCAGCGAACTGTGCACAGATCCCCTGCTGATCAGAACAGACAGTGCCTGTATGAAAGGGGCCTGAATGTCATTCATGGGTAGCCCCACTGCAAAGGTTAATAAAATTTCTGTCCAGGGTTCGTCTAAGAAAATTGGAGGTACAGAGTGAAATCAGTGCACTCACCTGTTCACTTGAATAGGTAATGCCCACCTGCTGCCCGCCTCTATCACTGCTGCATAAACGACTGATGGGTACATGGCAGGAAAAGGACAGCTCACTCTCTGGAAGAAAGGACTTATTATTGCGCAGAACAGTTATTATTCTGAGACAGGTTTTAAGAAGTAGAACATTTGTTTGGGAGAGACTGGCTAGGTTCCAATTCCAGGCTAAAGGTGAGATGTTCTGCTAAACATATGATTATTTATCTGCCAACAAATTGTCAAGCCATACAAATATTGTGCTGTGCGAATGAATAATCTGCCAGTTATTAACACAAAAATAAATGCGACGATGAAGCTGTGGATGTTTCATATTTATAAGTCAACGGAATCGACGCAGCATCTTTCTGGCTCAGAACAGATAACAAAGTTTGTATGCTGGCGCATGTATAATGGTTTAAACAAGAAAAAGACACTGAAACCTTTTGTAATGAACATAATAAAAATGCCACTCGCAAATAAAAAGAATTTGTGCTGTGTTGTCATAGTAACACTGAAAACATGAATTTCGGCAGCAGAACACGCAGCACAAGCTGCTTGCGTCTATTCTGGGATTCATAAAATGTTTTCTCTATATGGTTATACAAAACTAAATCTCTGCAGCCAAGTATAATTGCTTTTTGGCAGGGAAAGTGATTATTGACTGTATAAAGTGTCAAAGCTGGTTCCATTTGGTAAAAACATAATGAAGGGGTTTTTTTCAGCGAGTGAATTATGACTTAATCAAAGATTTTGTATGAACTATTTCGAATATGAATAATAACTTTTTAGGGACTTAGTTGTTTAAGGCTGAACAGAAAAATAGACGCTCAGCAGCTGTAAGAGAATCAAGTCAATGTTTGTGTTGTGGGTGTTTAGCAGTCTTTTAAAAGAAAATTAAAGTAGTTTATTAAAGTTGCCGAGTACATATTGATGTTCAGAGCTTCGACAATGAGTTTAGCAGCCAGAAGCTTTCTTAAAGAGTCTTTGTTTCTTTGCCTATTCAGGACAAAATGACAGTCTCATGACAACTCACCACCCTGACCCAATTCTACCTTTCATGCCATTCCATTCTTCGGTCAAAGTCAGGGTTCCATTCCAAGCCCGTGTGTAAGCTCTGCATTGAATAGTGACAGACCTTCCTCCTCACTTAAAATGACACTAAACTAAGGCGTTAAATCTTAAAAATGCATTCAATTACCTTAACTATTAACAACACTGTATCGTATTTGTGTATCACTCGGCTGTAGATCCTCAAATCATCTCTGAATTAATTTTGACGCTGTCCTTCATTCTGGAAGGTGGCAACTTTTGTTCCCCATGGTCCCTGTGTGTGTTGTAAAGTAGCCACCACTTGAAGCTCGCTTCTGTGATGGTCTACAATCTATATACAAGTTAGTGAACTAACCGTGAGATTGTTAGTCCATCACTGGAGTGAGCTCAGAGTTAAATTGCTAAGCTATGGGAGCCTACATATTTCTGTCAACACAAGTTTCTTTAGGGTGTAGCACCCTTCATTTGGCACCCTCTGTGCCAGTATGCTTCTCTTATGAAAACGATTTAATGAGAACACTAAGCTCTTTTAAAATAGTTTGTGAGAAATTATATTTCTTGGAAAATTACTACCCCACCAAAATAATTTTTATACTTGATTTACTTTGTTTTTCACCTTGTGAAAAGTACATTTATTTCTCAGGGCAAGATGCCAACACAGTACCTTTATTCAATGTCCATTCGTCTTAAGATTATCTTTTTTCCTCCAAAATCACAATATTGTTCAATTTCTTTTCCCGTGCAGTGTTTTGTGGTCATGTATCTCTTCCTTGTTTCACAAAGATATGGCAGAGCACTTCTCCTTGTGTCTTTACTTAAAGTGTATGTATAGCAAAAACTATTTTGTATTGGATAGAGAATGATGGTAAATCAAACATTTTGGAATTGTTACCAAAAGAGAAAGTGTAGGGGGAGTGATCCTATGAGGACTTCTGTTTTGGTGACAACTGTCTAAGAGGGGAATTCACCTTCCTTTGGAGATAATCCTTCTCACTTCCTATTGTGTCTCCAGCACACAAAGTAAAGGGAAATACCTCTATGGAACACATACAGCAAAAAATAAACTTACTGGGACTTTAAAGCAGAACTACAACCTCCTATCCTTTACAGCCAGGGTAGGTGCCATCTTAGCCTATATTTGGATTGCAGTTTTCATGATGGCCGCATGTGATCAGTTATGACACCAGCCATTTGAGGGTTTTAAAATTTGGTTGAGAGCTGAAATGAGCACACTGGCAACCTGAACAGTTGGCCTACCTTAAAAGTAGTGGTTTTGGTAGACATTAAATTGGTGGGTAAAGTTCCTCTTTAAGCATTCTCTATTCTATCTGAAACTAAAAAGAAAGCTTTGGCTATACATACAATTTAGAGCAGAACTCTGGGGAAACAACATTCTTAAACCCTTGCAGTGGGGCTACCACTGCACTGCAAAGGTTAAGTGCTGGATAGTGTCTAGGTTTAAAAAAAAAAGTTATATTCACTCACTCATTCTCTGAGCTAGCCAGCTCTAGACCTGTCCTTCCAGCCTCTACCCTCCACTAAGGATCCTCGGGTCATCATGTTCTATACAGTGTACAGGTGAAACTCAAATAATTAGAATATCGTGCAAAGTTCATTTATTTCACTAATACAACTTAAAAGGTGAAACTAATATATGAGATATACTCATTACATGCAAAGCAAGATAATTCAAGCCGTGATTTGTCATAATTGTGATGATTATAGCTTACAGCTCATGAAAACCCCAAGAACACCAAATCCACAACCTCAAAAAAGTAGATTATTACATGCAATCAATAAAACAAGGATTGTACATAGAACAATATCGGACCTCTGAAAAGTACAAGCATGCATATGTACTCAGTACTTGGTTTGGGCCCCTTTTGCAGCACTTACTGCAATTACTTTTGCACGATATTCTAATTATTTGCGTTTCACCTGTATATAGGACATGAGGACACCAAGGGTCATACCACAGTATACCTGAGTATCGTAAATATAAAAATAACGTTATTGGGGAGGCTACATATCAAATGTAAGCTAAGTTTATGTCGGTACAATAGTCAAAGTGAAGCAAATGTTGTGTATTTTCCCCTTATTATATTTTACAGCCGCTCCATACAGGTAAGGTTCCTTTGCAGATTTCAATATAAAGATTTCGCCCCTGCAAAGCAATATAATAGAATTTGATTCCACGGCTACATCCTGCTGGCAAAAAACTCAGGCTATCCTTGCTGTTTGTGTGTGAACTTAGTCTGGCTGTGCTGCGTCACCATTTGCTGAAAGGTTGTCAGGTACACAAACCGCAGGCTCCCAGACACACAATGGCTCAATCAGTTCTGGTAAAACCAGCTTTCACATTCCAAACACAGAGTACAAGAGAAGTCCAGGGGACCATAGCAACCCAACACAGGGATGGTGCATTCAGGACTTCAGAAGATGGATCCCCCAGCAGTGTCCTGTATCTGTGAGCTGTGCGACTGTGGGTGAGATAAGAACACATGTGTACATACCATTTTATTTTTTGTAAACTTATTTTGCATGCACTCCAGCTGACACCATAATGAGGATAGCCAACCGTTCACAGTCTTTTACATCAAAGCATTCATTTTTATTTCATTATATATTAGCCTGAAAAGATCAGTGTTTGGTGTTCTGTCTTTCAATGTGAATTTGATTGATAACGTGTTAAATAAAGTAGAGTCAAATTTTTATAAACTTGCATTCTAACCCGGCAAAGTAATATATAAAGTAGCTGTATTATACAACCACCACGCGATACACTGACAGATGTTTTATTTGATGTGACAATAGATATTCATTTGACTGTTCTCCTGATTTAAATGTATTTTATGATAGTCAAATTATCTATTTGTTATTGTGCCATGTCGCAGCACTAAAATGTTTGTTTAAAGCCCAGTTTAAGCCATGTGTTTCATTCTTGTTATGTAGTCAGGCTGCATAAAACTAAAGGATATGTATTTTTTTTAGGGCCCATTCGCATTGGATCTGTTGCGTTGTGATCTGTTGCATGGCGCTATGTTTCTCAAGGGATGCTAACAGAAGGGTACCAAAAAATGAATGGGTGTGAATGGGGCTAGTTCATCGTGCTCTGTTCCATTGTGTTACATCACGTGCTAAAAAAAAAGAAAGTAGAACGAGCACTACTTTTTTTTCAGCGCAACGGATCCGGTGTGAACTAGCCTAATTCGCAGTTATTAATTTTTCAGTGCCCTTCCATTAGCATCCGTTGAAAAATTGATCGCAACACATCAGATCGAAAGGAAATTAGAAAGTACGATTGCAAGTTAACAGACCCTCAGTTGACTTGCAATTTCCTTCTGATTTTGGTGTGAATGTGCCCTTATGTGCTTAAAGTGCTTTAGAACTATAAAAAAGGTGCTCGTTGCCAACACCACGCTGGAGTTTCTGATTGCTTATATCACAGCGGTCCATATCTCAGGCGTGTAGCCAAATGGGCAGGGGGGGTGCGGGCCACTGCTAATAGGGGCAGTCCCTCCGTCGCTCCGCCAGACTAGCAGTGTGGGAAGTAAGGCAGAAATCTGGAAATCGCTAAGGCACTTAATTGTTGTTTCAATGTAGTAATATGACCGCTGTTTGCTACTGGTGCTAAGGGGAGCCCAGCATAGCAGCAACGAGTGGAGCTTATTAAAACTGGAGCAGACAGAATATGGAATAGTTGCCCATGGCAACCAGTCAGCTTCTTTCTTCAGTTTGTACATTTAAGCTTTGAAAATGAAAGCTAGAAGCTGATTGGTTGCTACGGGCAACTGCTCCAAATTCTGTTTGCTCCAGTGTTGATAAATTCCTCTCTTCCTCTGTGGTCTCTGCCATGGACTTTGAGCACCATCTAATTTGACACAGTGTTCTCTCGACATTGTTGCAGTCATCTTGGACACAAAGAGGCTATCTAGAAACCCTTCTGCATTACGAGGGATCCTTTGCTGCATGGAAGAGTGCCGGTAAGGACAAATACCTGTTAGGGACAGGTAGACCTCGCCCCTCATTTAGAGAGAGTTGGAGCCCAGGGACCCGGAAATTACTTGGTGTAACCTATACACCGGTGGCGCTACTAGAGGAGATACAGAAGCAAAGAGTTCAGGCTGCCCAAAAAGTTTAAGTAAACATGCTTTGCACATTTTCTTTAACGTAAACCCTGCACTTTCAATCTACTTTACTGTTGAACATGCCTTATTGTTCAGACATGGAACTGCTGATTGGCTTAGAATACAATGTCCCTGTAAAAGCCGGTTTCTCTTTAAAAAGCAACAATTGTGTCACAAACTCCCCTAAACCTCTGCACAGATGGTCTCATTCATCAACAACACTACTCAGGGGGTGTGGGCATTGCTGATTGGAGCACTATACAGGGTGCATGTCAGGTCGCCAGAGATTTGAACTGCTGAGCTCTGAGATAGTAGCAGCCTGATCTCCAGCTTGCTGGCAGCACAAGGCAGCTTCATATAGTTCTAAAGCACAAATGTCTTCAGCAAAGTGCTAGATGATGTTGGATGTCCTCCAGCCAGGAAAAAAGGCCAGCTCTGTCTGATTTGCTGTGACTTCTGATGCACACTATGAGATGTCGAAAGTGTGCAGTGAAATCAGAGTAAGATATTTTAGTACAGGAGAGAAGCCCAAAGAAAAGGCTGGTGTTTAGCTATAACAAATGTTTAATGGCACAAATTAATTAAATGGCCTTATGTTTTACAATGAAATACATTTACAATATTGCTATGCCTCTTTTCTGAGATAGGAATGAGGAACTCAATAAAAAAAATTCCAGGAGACAAAAATTTTTGGTAGATAAGACTTTGGAGTATATTTATAAAGCAGTGAATGTAACATTTATCAAACATTCACAGGTGATGAATCATTTCCTGTAATTTAAAATGCATGCACCAGGAAGATCCACCTGCATATAAATATGCCTCATTTATATGTCTCTTCTACCCAAAAAAAATGTTTTCTCCTTTCTCCTACAATTTTTTGTTGTATGCACACAACCTGTGGTGCATGTGCATTGCAGGACACACTCTCAGCCCACTCGCAACATCTTACAGACTGAGCCAGGATAATGTAACTTCATTTTACAGGGGTTACATCGTCAGTGGTTGCTCAACATCATTTGTGGAAGAAGACTCCAAGGAGATGGCAGCAGAGTCAGGGGCAAAGGAGCAATGAGGGGGAGCGAGGTCATCGCTGGAGGAGGGCAAACGAGGACACAATTTTGCCATAATGTGCAAGTGTGCTGTGCATACTAGTATAATATAGAAAATGCTCCCAGAACCCATGGACCACTTCAGTTTTGCATTAAACACAAAGGACACACTCCTGCCATGCTCCTAGTTACACAACCATGCAGAAATTATACCCCAAAAATGATCAGTTAAAGACAAAAATACTTTTTTTTCACCATCATTTTTATTCAATAGTACCATTTGAAAATAATGAATGCAAATAAGGGCCCCTTCACACTATGCCTTCCATTAATGTACGTGCAGTAATGAAATGCATTATTGTGTGTTAAGTCATCCTGCAATAAGGGATCATATTAAATCCTGAATGGACTGGTAGTGCACCCTAATGCATGAAAATAAACAGACATTTTTTTCAATAACGCAGCACACCTCAACACATGGCATGTGACTTGCCACGCACAAATGTGAATGAGCCTTAGATCCTGAATTAAACATTTAGTTCAATATAACAATTTTAATAGTATAATAATACTTTATTTATAGAGGTCTGTACATCAGAGGGACAGTTGGAGGTGAAAATGGGGCAGAGGGGATATAATTCCAAGTGAGATCTGCAATATATCCCTGCTCGCTGCTTGTACATTTTATTTTTAAAGAAAAAAATAGGGGCATGGGAATTGAATGCTTTATAAAAGCTGAAAACAGAGTTATTATGGAAAACGCCGGTCTCTTTACAGGCGACATAAACATCATAAAGGCTGCACGAAACAACTGAGAGTTCAGCCAAGAGAGAAGAATGGAAATTGTTATATCACCCACTATAAGGCCACCTATAATGCACCAAGGAGTAAGTTATAACCTTCTGTAATATCTTAGTTAAGTACTTGATGTCAAATATATGCCAAAAATATATGCCATATTTTTGAGTAACATAATATGTTCAGTGGTTGGAATACCAGTGTAACAGTTTAAAGTAAATATCTTTTAGCATAATATGTGCATTGCAAATGCAGTGAAGACTGACATACAAAAAAAATCTGTATTGAGTGGAGAGCCAGGTTGACTGATAAGATTACCCCTGACTTCCAGGGATGGGATGGGTGTCCCTGGCACAGGAATTCAACTGAAATCTCTCCAATGGACAAAAGCAGCAAAATAAAAACCTTTTTACATCCCCACTAGGGAGATTTCTCCTTACCCCCTATCCACTAACAAGTGGTGTGACACTGGGACAGAAAATAAGAGGAAATCTCCCCAACCGAAAAACAGCAAAAAAAAGTTGTACAGAGGTTGCAACGTTTGCTGTGCTATCCAAAGCTAACAAAAATGTTTTGTCTGGAGTTGGGGTATAAATAGCCTTGTGTGCCATGCTAGTTACATGAATATTCTAATATTTTAAGGTTTTGTGTGTATCTATAATCTGTTATTCCCAACACAGATGTGGCCCCTAGGAGCAGTAAGAGGCCCCCTCACACCCCAGTACCCCGTAACCTGCCTCCTATGAACTTGGCCACTACTCAGAGAGCAGAATTTATATCAAGACCACTTGAAGGAAGGCCCAAGTTATGTGTTCCTTCTGTAAGTATGTTAATGAACCCATTTGTTTCAGTAAAAATGAATAGTGTTCTAGGTCTTTTGTAGATTTTGTTGATCAGTTGCATGGTAGTGCACAACATATTTGATAGTTAAATAATATTTTTTATAGAGGTTATTACATTAGGCAAAAAAATGGGACAACTGAGGAAGACAAATGGACAGAGGGATTTGGTTCTAAAAGTGGGACAGCCCCTCCAAATGAGGGACAGTTGGCAGATATGGGTAAACATGGGAGCTTTTTCAAGTAATAATCGAAGATTCATGTTGTCAATTTGAGGCAATTATTTCTAAGGAAATGTTTACCTTCTTTCTAGCACATGCAAAGTGTAATCAGAGGAGCTTAGGTATCGAGTAGATGGAAATGTAAGTGAAGTAATTTGGACTTTGAGTTCTACACTGTAGGAGCTTTGCACCTCAGTGGGGATGCTACAGCTTTACTTAGGGAGTTATTCACTCAGCTGCTGAAGGCAGCATGGAGCCCCTCTCCCAAACCACATCAGACCCATTAGGTCTGGTAGGAAAGTTAGAAGGGACCCCTAGTTAAAATTTTAAAACGAATGTGTGGGGTTCCCCTCAAAAGCCATATCAGGTCTGGTAGGTATTTTAAGGAGGAACCCCAACCCCAAAAAACGGGGGGAAAACATGGAGTCCCACCTAAAAACCCCAACCAGACCCGTAATCCAAACACAGACCTGGCCGGGCAGGAAAGGGGGGAGGGGATGAGCGAGCGCCCCCCCACCCTGCTCCATACCAGGCCACATGCCCTCAGCATTGGGAAGGTGCCTTCCCAGGGCCCCCTACCTAGAAAAGCACCTGGTCCCCATGCCGATAAGGACAAGGGCCTCTTCCGCCACAACTCTGACCCGTTGGTGGTGGGGGTCTGCGGGCAGGGGGGGCTTATTTGCATCGGGCACCCCCTTGCTGCCCCAGATGCTGCCCCCCTTGTGAATGAGTAAGGGGAAAATGTAGATAAACAAACCAGACTTTTAGAAAAAATCCTTTAATTGAAAGAAAAAAAAAGTTTTTGACTATTCCTTTTATTTAAAAAAAAAAATTCCAAAAGATGATCCAACTAAGTAATCCATGGTCAATCACGTCATCCAGCGATGTCCACAATGAAGCTGGCTTGTCGAAGAGAAAAAACCCAATACCGGCCAAACCGCCCACACGTGACGAACTCCCACGGCAAAATGAACAGTTTGACTGAAGCTAAGGCCATATCCTTCAGCTCCTTTGTGAATAACCATATTGAGAGTAGTTTGAAGTTTTCAGTGGGAAGTAGGTTTATCTACCTACAGTAATAAAAATAATCTGTCTTATAATGATGAGCCTCTCTATAAACTGGGCTGATGCCATGTTGATAGACAAGTAAGAGAAGATGATGTACCAACTGTTTCAGGAGACTTGGTTATTCTTTAGGGAAGCTCATACAGTTTTCAGTGTACAGGTATCCTGAGTTTACAGGTACACAGAGAAGATCATTTTTTTTGCATGTGAAGGTAATTCCAATGAACTGTTCAAAAACATATTAAAGATAGCACTGGTAGATGTACTGTACTTTAGGCTTAGTATTATACTTGAATGTGTTTACTTACTCTGAAGTTTACATCTTTTTCAATCTTGTACAAACAGGAGGGTTATTACCAGAGCCCAGAGGAACCCCTGTTAAAACAGACCGTTTATGGACTACACTATCCTCCAAAGGAGGCAGAAAGAACTATGCCTACACGTCCACCAGACAACCTGCATCCTCCACCTCCAGCCAGTTCACATCATACCACCACCAACAGGGAACTGTATAAACAATACAGGACAGAGCGCCAACCACAATATGGAGAACTACCAACTCTAGCAGGTACCTCACTGGTTAAACTTCCATTACGAAAACTAAAGTTTGACTCCAGGCACACAGCCAGGGGAAGACTGAGCAGTAGGGAGACATTTGGTCCCCGGGCCAGTACTAATAAGATATGTTAGTTTTGTGACATGCAGAGATCCTACAAATAGTGGCTAGATGATTGCTATGTGCTTCCCTTTCAGACCTGCAATCACAGCACCGGACAGAGAAAATCTTCTTACATCATATTTCTTTTGTTTCTCTGACATGTCATGTGACCAAACGCTGAGAACCACAAAGAAAGCTGATGCTTGAAGATGTAAAAAAAAGTGCATACACTCTACCATAAAATCTAGCATGAATGGGTCACTGGGTGTATTTGAACCCAGGCCAATGGTTCCAGGTCTTTCCCAGCACACAGCTAAATACACAGTTAAAATACATAAGGGAGACATTTTTACCTGTCAAAGGATTTGTATTCCTTTCTATTAAATGCTGAGATGTGTACAGTCCTGCTAGGTGGCAGAACCTAACTGGTGCCCTGACTTTTTTTTTACTGCAGTTAATTGATACAACTGGATCTTGGCCCTTCCACTAGCATGTGATTGAACAGTAAAGATGAAGCAGCAGTCTGATGACCTAATTTTTCTGTCACTCTTCCCTTTCTTCCTGTCAGCATGTTCCTTGCCACTTGTAATAAATGCATTTAATATATGGAACTATAAAATTATGAATTAATAGTAATTAATAGCATTATACATGACACGGTTATTATTTCAAGCATAATGTAATGAACAGATATACATTTTTGTTGTCATTCCCTATCCTGCAAATGCAGCTATCTTAGGTTTCAGGTAGCACTGATCCTTTCCAGGGAAGCAAGATTAACTAGAAATGTACTTCAAATTTTAAAGTCGCATGGCAACAGTAGACATGAATTCGTCACCATTTCTGTCAGTGCTGGTAAACACAGGGAAGGGTGGAGTGAGAAATACTGGTGACTTTACAGAAAACAGATCTTCATAATGATGTTTTCTTCCCCCTTCATTATTATTTAAATCATTCCGTAGAGAGGACCGTGGTTTTATATGCTATACTCATATCCGCCAAGACATCTAATTACTCCTATCTCATTTTCTAAAACTTGTGACTCCGTAGACCTCAATACAGTATCTGCCGGTGTTCTGTTGTGGAAGAAGGCAGCATTGTATATCATGTACAGCAACATGTACATTTATTACTGCAGAATTGTTTCACGGAACACTACACAAACAAGCAATGACACAATCAATGAATAGGAGAATCCAGGGAGACTAAAGCTACATGCCAATTATCCTGCAGCAATCACAAAGTGCCTGTCAAAATTTCTTGACGATGCACTAAATATTTAATTATACTTTATTTTGCCAAAGCTAAGCAATGTGGTCCAAAAAGAAACTTGAAAATTATATTTCAAACATTCTTATACTAGTGTGCATATTCCCTTACCCATGTTTGACAGGAGCGGTTCTCTTCCATGGTGGTGTGAGTGACATGAAAACTACCACCCAGGAGCATTATGTACAAAAGAAGATAAAGAGAATAGAGCCTGTGAAAGCTTCACACGATCATCTGACCATGGAAGGTAAAGTATGATCTTAAGAACCTCATTAAAGTAGATGTTAACTCAATCACTAAAGTGGCACTAAACTCAGGAGTTAAACTTTACCACAAGCACATGTAACAGGGTGACAATGCAAGGGCACAGTTGTGAGAATGGGACAGGGGACTGTCACCCCACCATAGGAAGTGTCTAGACAAGCCCCTTCATGTCTGGATTGCCAGGTACTAATTTAAAGAGCACTTTAGATTTAAGATTATTAACAAAGACTTTTGAAATTAAAAAAACTAAAGATTATATGAGGTTTTAAAGTGAGACTAAACTCAGGGGTTAAATCTTAAAAATGCATTCAAGAACCTAACTATTAATAAAAATGTATCTTATTTGTGTATCACTCGGCTGTAGATCCTCAAATCATCTCTGAGTTGGTGCTGACACTGTCCTTCCTTCTGGAGGGTGGCTACTTTTGTTCTCCATGGTCCCTGTGTGTGTTGTAAAGTAGCCACTGCTCCAAGCTCACTCCCATGATGGACTACAATCTCACGTTTAGTTTACTAACTTGTATTGAGATTGTAGTCCATCACAGGAGTGAGCTTGGAGTGAGCTTGGCTACTTTAGAACACACACAGGGACCATCAGGAACAAAAGTAGCCACCCTGATACACAAATAAGATACATTTTTATTAATAGTTAAGGTTCTTGAATGTATTTTTAAGATTTAACTCCTGAGTTAAGTCTCACATTAAAACCTCATATAATCTTTAGTTTGTTCATTTCAAAAGTCTTTGTTAATAATCTTAAATCTAGAGTGCTCTTTAAATTAGAACCGGGTAATCCAGACATGAAGGGGCTTTCTATGGTGGGGTGACAGCCCCCTGTCCCTTTCTCATAACTGTGCCCTTGCATTGTCACCCTGTTACATGTGATTCTGGTAAAGACTGTATTTGGCTGTGCCAATGTTCTTTGTACAGGCATGTTCCACTGTTGCCACCATGAGAAAGCTGAACCTGAACAATGACATTCAAAGACCATTGGAGCACTTTCCGGTAGACAGACAATGGCTCAAAATAGGCTGCAAGAGATTAGCGCCACTGAGATGCAAAAAAATAAGATTGTTGTTTATGATTTACAGTGCTTTATCAAAATTAATCAAAATTCCTCCAGTTAGGTTTACATCTCCTTTAAATAACAAAAATGTGTATCTGAGTCTGTGACTTCAAGGGTAATGAAATCATTAAATCAGCATTACAAGCAGGCCACTAAAATTTTCAGTAGGAGGTCATAATGACAGCCACCACATTGCTCTCAATCTTTGGCACACACATTATAAACTAAGGAGTTTTACACATATATGTAATATATTGGATAAGGCCATTTTTAGCACAAAGGTTTCTTTGAAATCTTTACTGTGTTTTTAGAGTAATATACATTTTCGGACTGGCAATTAACTGTTGTAAAACGTGGCACCCTATTTAAAAAATGTAGAGCGCACATGTGGGGCTTCAGAGGCCCTGTTCACCAGTCGTTTGTCTATTTCATTCTCTACCCACACCCTCCTCCACACCTGCCCCGAAACACCTGTCCCGATGGGAACATGTACGCCTGCTGGCGGCGAAAAAGACTGTTTTGATAAACTGGTTACTTCCTCCTCCCCCTTCCTTAGCGCTAATGAAGGAGCTCTTACGCAAATTAATGGCAGTTGATAAATTGGAAGCCCAATTCACCCAGGAACACACTTCTAAATTTTTTGCTACTTGGTCCACATTCCTTTTAACCGAGCTATCCTCGGGTCAACTAGCAGATTTAATGTCATTGTTCCAATATACAAAATGGTACCTGGAATCCAAGTTAGCAGGAACTCTGGGTCGTTTAGACGTTCTTTAGGGCCCCTTTGGATGGTATTCCCTTTCCACAACCAATCGAACATGGGACTCCATGGTGGAAGCTTATATGTCGTATTTTATTTTATTTCTTCATGTGTACCATTGTTTTCGGCCGTGCTAAACCGTTTTCTGTTTTTGTTTTGTGTTCGTTATTCTCCATCTGTGACGATCTTCAGGGTGGGAAGACAGTCATTTACGGTCAGGTTTTGGGGAATGCTGTTTTCGCTATTCTTCTTGATCCACTTGTGCTGGTAAACGGTTGTTAGACTGTATTATCATTATGTATCTGTCGATCTTTATCTGCCATGCATATGTTTCTCTCTCTTGTTTGCACCCTCCTGGAGGGTTGTTTTTTGTATTGATATTGATATACCATATCTCAATAAAAATTATTTGCTAAAAAAAAAAAGAAACTGCAAAAAAATGTATAAAACTGCATGCAACATATACAATTGGTTATTCTAAAAGTCTTAGCATTTTGTCCAGAAACTATGCCATGTTGACCAGTACACAAAATGGAACATTGTTAGTATGACAATTATTACGTGTAGTTCCTACACGTAATGGTACATTATTTTTCTAAACAAGTTTCTGCGACAATTAGGTCATGTTACAGGGCTTGACCAAAAACTCTAGGGAGTAGATTTGTTTTTTAATAAACTTTCCCCTTAATACATTCCTACTGCAGGATCCATGTAATAGGGATGCTGTGGATACCATTTCACATAACTCCCTTTTTCTCCTGACAATCAAGCCATGATTCATGTACTGAAATCTAATTATTGTGATTGTCAGGTTTGTTAGAAAACTCATGTGCGTATTAAGAGTTTGAGCATTTGAGAATCTCAGCAGGCATAACAATTTTACTACAGTATATTTGCACATAATTACATGTTCACGCAAATGTATATCACTGAATCCTTTTTTAAATGGGTTGTGTACTTGTTAACATGCCCTTTTCAACAAAACTTGCTCATTATGCAACTTATTACCACAACATACTGTATTTATAGACCATTAACCATTTCCTGAAAGGAGAAGAGAAATGTAAATTAATAAGGGCATCATTTACTAAGAATGTATTGTCAATGAAAGAAATTTATCTTAACGGTAATTTCTCTCTCCTTTGGTACTTAATAAAAGAGAAATCAGAATACTGGTTAAATACTGGAAGTTCATCAAATATTTATTTTGGTAATGATTGAGACCATGCCATATTCCACAAATATAGTAGGCATGTAACCCCGCAAAAAAATGTGTTTCATTTAGTTTCAGAACCATTCAGATTTTTATTTCTTTCATTTTTCGGATTTTGGATCTGAAATTTGATTCGGTTCATTATTCAAATTTCGAGATCTGTCCAAATTTTCGTCTAAGTCACATGACCATGCCTGTAATGCTACCTCCAACAGCCAAAAAAAAAGCCATGTGATTGGACAGAGAACAGTCACATGTCCAAACTAGTTTATTGTTTAACCAAATTCTGACGGATCAGAATTTTTGTTAAATGAGCATTCAGATTTGTTCGCATTTGGAACCATAAGAATTCGGAAATTCATGTGCATCCAAATGTCCGAATTTAACATTGTTCGTAGGAATATCCATCCAGAACGAAACGAATGTCTAAAATATAGCTTGATGACAAGCCACTGAGAAACAAGATCATTCTAGTGCTATATTTTTTCTAAATTCCTGTTCATACATTTAAGGGGATTTCCCCCAAAAAATGTAAAACCGTTAAGACAGTCAGGGAGGTAACATGAAAGGGTCTACAGTTTTCTATTAAGCAACAGAATATATTTAGTCAGCTTGCAGGTAAAATCTAAAATTGGAGGTCTCTGCCCCACGAAAAGCATGGGTGACCCCTCCTCATTACTATAAAGATCATTATCGAACAGAGTATTTACAGCTTTCTTTTAAATCTTAAAAGCGTTGTTTAATTAGTTCAGTTAATGGTTTGTACTTCCAGGGGAGCATAACATGACGACAACACATCAATCTACTTACCATGCTCTACCACTGGAAAAGATTAAAGAATCCAAGGAACCGCTACCAAACAAGATCAATAAGCGACCACCAATGCAGTCTGTGACTAAGTACCAGAGTGACTTCTCCACGTACTATCCCCTGGAACCAAGCAAGCCAGCAGCCCCACCCACTAATAACCTGACAGTAAATCCTTTTTATAGGTGAGAAACATATATTTATGTAAATTAACTGTACTTTAGTACCCAAGCTGTGTTTACCACATGGTCCCAAGCCAGGTTAATGGGATCATGCATAAGAGTCAGCGTACATAGGCATATGTGTTTTGCTGCTGCTTGCAAAATGTTGAATCATGAATCTCAAGGCAGTGTCTGAATTTTTAATTGGATTATTGGATTTTCTGCAGTGATATACATTGCAAACAAATTACATATTTGATGGCGGCAGATAATTTACATTTACAGGTATGTGGAGTGTGCATAAGTATTGAATATTATACTAGTATAACAACTACTCAGGCATAAAATATTAGCAGTATGCTTCTCCCTCCCCCCCCCCCCCCCC